GGCGGGCTGTGAAAAACCTGGAGGTGGAAAAAACTGAGAACCTTCGCAGGGAGGAGAAGGAACGAGCCGAAGACTATTTAACAACACAGCAAGTCACAGAGGAAGCTGCAGAAGAGGCTCCTGATGAGGGCATGTTGCCGACACGTCTGCGATTCAGAGTTTGTCATCCATGTAGATAAAACGACAGAAGATACCTGCTTGTAGACCTGCAGCAAGAAAGGAAGACATGACATGAACTCAATAGCTGTTCCTTCACGTGCCAAAAACAAGAGCCACATATTCTAAATGGTGTTCTGAAACTAGTAAAACCTATTTACTAATCACATTCATATAAAGCAGGATGTTTCTACCATTTATCCTCCTCCAGGCGTCTTGTTAGACCCCCAACTGAATGTTTGTGTGAGTTTCAGACGGACTGCTTCGAGGCATTCGGTGTGTTGTTTGGTGGAAGAGGATGAAATAATAAACAGCCTTACTTTTACTGCGGGTCCTCTTCATGCTTCTCTCTGACCTCTGAGCAGCATCAGTTTGCACACTGAGGTCCTCGGGCAGAGGTCTGTAGTCTGTTCAGGGCCCGGCTGAAAACCTGAGAGTGTTTTCAATCAGGGCGCCGAGGCTCGGGAGTGAGGTCGGCTGATCTCTTTTAAGTTTACTTTTACTGGAGACTGTTTCCTGACTTTATGTGAGTTTTGAACTGTCTTTTATTCCTCCTCAGTAACGTGTTTTACCTTCTCTAACACTATGCTGGTGTTTAGGTTCCCATGTTGTGTCAAAAGACTTTTACTTTGCTGCCTTGTGAAGCCATTTGTAACTTGGATTTTGCTATAAATAAGTATTGTGTTTTAGCAATAACATTTCATTTGAGTGATTATCGATGGTTGTAATAACTGAATAAAACAATCATTTTAACAAATAAAATAAAATTGTGCTTATTTTAGTGATCAGATGACGGCTGTTTAACATCCAATCAGTGGCATCACACACAGGAAATTTCTTTTTAAATAACTCAGATTTGCACCTTATTATGCTTTTGTGGGTCTGCAGCATCAAGGAAAGTGTCACGAGGAAGTTAGAGCTGCTTCATCCAGTTCTACATAATTTAATGAAAGCAGCTATTCATTCAGCATCACTATCGAAGGAAAAAAAATGAAAGATGACGTCTGAGTCAGGACGTTTGTCAGCTCCTGGTTAGTCTCACAAAACTCTTCAGATTTTCTAAAATCCATCCCGTCGTGGGTCGCCATCGATTCGCTGTCATGAAAGCTATTAACAGATTTTTACAATCGTGCATGAATTATACACAAAATGTTTATTTTTGTCTTTATTTCATGATTTTATGTTTTATTTTTAAACAACAATTTTCAAGCTTTGCACGAAAAGATTCTGACCGCGACAGCCTGTGCTCTGCTGAATATCTCGGCTGCGGGAGAAGCATAACATCACATATCAGATCCAGCCAATGACTACATATCCCGTTACAAGATTCAAAGACATCTGAGAGGAGTTCAACTGGAGATCATGACACTAAGTGGTGATAACTGATTCTCTCCATTAACCAGAAAGTCGTATTTTCTCCACAGCGAGTCTTTGTGTTCTTCCCACCAAAGCACATTTAGCAGTTAGGCCACCCGGGAGATCAAAATCAATCGAAATTATCAGTGAAATAAAATCTGTGAGAAAACAGTGACACCACAAGAGTGCTCGGCCAAACCCATCAAATTAAGGTACAACAACATCGTAAATAATAATAATAATAATAATAATAATGTTAATACTATTGTGTTTTACTGATCTTTTTTTTTTTTCCAAACAAAAATAAATTCCTTTGGTCAAGTAAAAAACAAAATGAAAACAATAGTGAACTCTTCCTTTCACCAGTCTTGTGTTCCTCGTGTTTCTTTTTTCTACAGTCAACCAGGTTCTTGAGGCTCTAAGGCTGCAAAGGAGGTGTCAAGGCAATATGGTAATGGTGCCCCTGGCGCTCCATGCTGCAGCATGCTGGGAGGAGGACTAGAAGAGTAGGAGAGGGGCAGAGGCATTGAAAGAGGACCGGTGTCCTCAGACAGCAGGTGAAGGTGCATCAGGATCAGGGTCATTGCTGTAGTTGTTGCTGTAGTGATTCCCACTGGGTGGGTGATTAGGGAGGATGTCCAGTTCATCAACTTGGGGGCCAGGGTGCATCACCACCAGCTGGTCTTGGGGGATGTCTGCTGCCGCTGCCGCCAGGTTGGTGATGGACTTGGATTTAACACACTGGAAGTCCACATGGCGGCTTTTGCCCTCCTCCTTTTCCCAGGACATGCGGATGAAGGGCCTCTGGACGTAGTTATAAATGACCTCCGGACGACCTCCTGGTCGCTTTTTGACTTTCTCCTTATATGTGGGGTAACCTGTGGCACCAAGAGGACAAAACCATTAACTCGGTTCATGTTAACTTCTATTCAGAAATGCAGAACACAACAACTCTCCAATCACAGGCTGATAGCAGCTCAGTCTGGAGGTGAACTGATCTATGACTTGTTCAGAGGAAGTTCTGATATTTTTACACTATGACAGGCTTCCATTGTGTTTCTATTTTGATCTCTTTCACTGATAAGGTTTGGTAGGTATACCACTTAACAAACGTTATACTAAATCTTTTTTCTTACTTTTATATATAAGAGCATTCATACCTATACAGACATTTCAGCTGCTTCACTCCTTCATAACATCCATCATCAAAACTATAAAATCAATCACCTGATAAAAAACTGGACTTCATGATTTAATTAACATTTAATTGTACATCATCTTGTCAAACATTATTCTTAGAATAAGATATAAACACTTGTGTGGTGACAGCTGTTTCAGGTGTTTTCTTTCTTACAGCTGAACCAAAGTGTAAACCCGTCCCTACAGTCGCTGTCTGATGAGCCTCAGTGGAGCAGAACACACACATCACACACCGTAGTTAGTGAAACCTTTGGCTTGCTTTCTATCTCAAAGGTTTTGTTGTCAACACATCAAACAGTAGACGGAAATATTTCACTTAAACAGCACGATATCCAGGTTAAAAACATCTTCATCACTGAGAACGTACCTTCGATGCCCAGTCGGATCTTCTTCAATCCTCTCTCTTTTAAAACTGATTTGGCAACATCTCGGTTCTCAATATACTTGAAAAATCTGTACAGTTTTGTGCTGTAAATGACTACAGGGAGAACAAACACAACATTAGTTTAACATTGCTGTGGTTTGTATATGCAGAGAGCTGACTGTGTTGTGTGTCGGTGGATGCTCACTCTGTGAATACTCTTCTCCCATCTGTGGAGGATATTCTTCATCCCAGTCCACAACATCGTCATCAGTAAGGACTACAATGTGACATTCCCTCTCTCCACTCTGAGCGCTCGCCACCATCAAAGGTAGAACCATCTCCTCAAGGTAAAACTCGAACTGACGCCGAGCGCCGTCATTGGACAGCTCGTGCATCAGGGCACCTGATGAGAGGAGAGAGGATGTGAGTCAACTTACAGCTGCACTCTGAAGGCTCTGATATGAGCTGAACTTAAGCAAAGGCTTTAAAAGTAAACACACACAGAGGTGAGTGAGCTGTATGCTTGCACAGGTAATTCAAACACACTCCCGGTTACAGCTTCAGATAACGGTAACCTTCAGCTTTCCTCACACAACCATTTAGGAGTTTTTATGAGCAAAATCAGCTGAACTCCAGGCAGGGCTCCAGACTCGCTGTATCACTGGTAGCACCGGTGGAACCAACTTTCTCATTTGGTTACAACTCCCATCTTGCCACAGGCAAAACACATCACTTGTTGAACATCTGCTTATAGCTGGACGCTACAATTTACTAACGTTCCCAAAAGCCCCACATTGTAGCTGCTGCTTGGTGGCTGCGGCGCTCAGACAGGTGTGACCAAAAAACACTTTGAAATGAGTTAAACCGGGGCATTCTAGTGTCAGATTTGTCCGAGATGAAACCGAGTGAGGGCTGCGAGGTGGGTCAGTGGTTAGCAGCAAAAAGTTCACCGGTTCGTGTCCTGGTGTGGACACCCAGTTTGCATGTTCTCTCTGTGCAGCGTGGGTTCTCTCTGGGTTCTCTCCACCTTCCTCCCACAGTCCAAAAACATCCATCCATTATCTATACACCGCTTAATCCTCACTAGGGGGGCTGGAGTCCATCCCAGCTGACTCAGGGTGAAGGCAGGTTCACCTGGACAGGTAACCAGTCTATCACAGGGCTACACTTAGAGACAGACAACCAAGCACACTCACATTCACACCTACGGACAATTTACAATCACCAATTAACCTCAGCATGTTTGTGGACTGTGGGAGGAAGCTGGAGAACCCGGAGAGAACCCACGCTGCACGGGGAGAACATACAGAGAACACACAGAAAGATCCCGGGTGTCCTCACTGGGACGCGAACTGACGACCTTCTAGCTTCTATAACCAAGTGATTTTTTTTCTACAATGCAGAGCGCACCAACACGGGCTGTTCTGCTCACAGAAAACAGCAATTGCAGGTGTGCTCCACATTTCATAAGAACACTGCATTTTAAGTATAAATACCACAGTTATAAAAGCGCTGACACGACACTGTGGTTAACGTCGGTTACAGCGACATCAAAACAGCTTAATGATAGTCACGCACTCGCACAAATATGACCGCTTGAAATTTCAACTCTCAAAAAAAGGTCACCAATGCGCCATCTGGAGGCCTGATAGGTTGTAAACAATAGTTTATGATTTGGATGAAACATTCAAACAAACAATTATAAATAACAGACTGACACAAAAATTAATTAAGAAAGACCCTAAAGTTAAACAGATTTTTATACTGACTGTGTATTCCAGAGTTAACAGAAGTCATAGCCGTGCCTCCATTTCAGCAGCATTTAGTACCACCTTACTAAAGTACCCAGAGTGCTGAGGAACAAATGCAGTTTGAGCACCGTGCAGACAATGCCGCCATTACAGTTTCAGGCACTCGTCTTCCACAGACTGCAATAAAAGCTATAAAACCTCCACCACGAGTCACTAAAAACAATCTGATCCCTAATAGTCATGTTTAGAAGGAAAGACACCAGACACTTCAACACATGTCACGGTCCTGAGCTCAAGGAACAAGAGGTATAAGGCTTTAAAAAAAACATCTGCAGTAGACGTCATGCTCAAATTGTGTTGTAGTAAAACACCAAACAAACACGTTGTACAAAAAACCCCTGCCATTTAAATAACATCATCCCAGTGACTTCGTAGCTCAGGAAACTTTGTGCTGGGAAAACCTTTTGGTGTCTTAAATTTGTGCCATAAATTTAAAAAAAAAAATTAATAATAAAAATAAATCTGCAGCATGAATAGATTGGTGAGTATGACCTCAATTAGCTGCAAGACATATTTTATGTCCTCTACATAAAGTTAGAGCGGGTGAAAGTGACGAGGCAGCACTGCTCTACAACATCAACAGCTTCGGCGGCAAAGAGAAAACACTCACTGAGGTCTCTGCATTTGATGGTGCTGTAGTCGAAGGAGATGCATAGATAGTCACATGCCTCCCGCAACTCAGGGATAGAGATTCCATCAGGACATCGGATTATCCCAGATTTGTAGTAATCCTGGCAATTAGACAGAAATCACAAAAAAAGGCAGTCATTTCAAACACGATGTTAATGTTGGAACTTATACCTTGAAATGCACATTAACAAAATCAAAAGCCTGGAA